TCTTAACCACTATCTACTAAACTTTAACCAACATGCCAAAACCTTATTTCCACAATGACCAACCATCCAAACACAAAACAATACGATTTGTCCCTCTAAAAATAAAGAGGACAGTGAAGAAAAGGAAAAAGAGTAACAAGACTACTTCCTACCATAGCACTCAATCTCACCCAAGATAACTTCCCAGATGATGTTCCCTGAATACTTAGTTTGTAAGTATTCACAGCATCACAACATCACCAAGGAAACCTGTCTGTCTGATTGGTACCAATTCTACTCACAGTCTGATATCCTCTTTTGTAGAAGATAACTCTTCGTATCAAACTGAAAAAGACAGGAGAGGGATTCACAGCTTTATTTAGAAGGAAAAAATATAATGAAAGGGTAGACCAGTAGTGTCATGAAGTGTTCATGCTTCAGAGAGGAGATGATGGGCAAATGAAAATTTATTATATTCCATATAGGTAATCCAATAAATGTAAATGTACAAAGCAATTTAGGTAGCAAAGGTATTACTAGCTGGAAAGACCAGGAGTAGAAAACAAACACACAATTGTGTCATCCAGGATACACAACTCAAGTAACATCAAAATCAGTGCCAAATTAGAAAAGAAATAAAGGTCTTCTTATTGTGACCAACAGAACTAGATTCAGAAAAAAATACTTTTTTAGCAAGGTAGATGAGTTTTGTTTAAGAAAAAGTCTGAAAGAAAATATTATTACTAGTTAGACTTGCTTTTGCTTCACTTGAGCAGAACTCTAATCTATGTGTCTGTATTATCAGTTACCAAGAAATGGAAAAACATGAGATGCACATGTGACACTAAATTGTGACACCACTCATTTTGCTCTCAAAAAATGAAAATTATAAGTAAAAAAAGTATCTGAGAGGAAAAACATTTTGGCATAGTATTAACTGAAAAGTTAAAGTGATGGGGAAGGGAAAAGACTCATTCTTTTGTTCATCTAGAATTAAAGTAAAAGGTAACTAATTAGTTATTAAACAGCAACTACAATTTTTTTTGCAGTCTTCTCATCTGTAAGCAAATCAAATACAGTATCAAGAGTTTGTTTGATCAAATGATTTTTGTTCTATACCTCAACCTTTAAAAAAAAAAAAATCAAAGAATTATACAATTACAAAAAGACTTGGAACTTTCACCTGAATGAATCTCTCTGTTATAAAAAGACCTTAAGAAAGGAAAAACACTCACAATTCATCAGTGCCTGCCTGTCTTTTAAACCCAGGAAATTCCTTTACGCCCCCTCCTCATTCTGGTCAGCCAGAACTGTAGGTGTGCCAGTCCACTCATTCATTTACCAGTAATATACTATGCTAACACTATTTACATTTAAAGCTGATTTTTGTTAGACTATTTCAAGTTCCAAACTTACTTGGTCAGAGTGGAACTTACAAATAATTGATTAAACACTATGTTGTCATTCTCTCCACTCAATTTTGGTGATGCAACCATTATGGAAAACAATAGCAATTCCTAAAAAAATTAAAAATAGAAATACAATATGATCTAGCAATTCTACTTCTGGGTATATATCCAAAAGAATTGAGAACAGGGACTTAAAGAGATATTTGAACACCCATATAGAACATTAATGATTCACAATAGCCAAAACGTGGGGGAAAAGTGTCCACTGGCAGATGAATGGATCAACAAAACGTGGTACATACACAAAATGGAATATTATTAATATTCCATTATATTCCATATTCCATTATATTATTCCATATATTCAATAATATTAGAAAGGAAGGAAATCCTGACACATGCTACAACATGTATGAATATTGGGGCCATTATTCTAAGTGAAATAAATAAGTCACAAAAGAACATATACTATATGATTCCACTTATCTAAAGTACCTAGAGCATTCATATTCACAGAGACAGAAAGAATGGTGGTTGCCAGAGGCTGGAGAGAAGGAAGAATGGGAAGTTATTTAATAGAAACAGAGTTACAGTTTTGCAAGATAAAAAGAGTTCTGAAGATGGCTGGTTGCACAACTGTGATCATACTTAAAGCCACTGAACTGTCATCCACACATCTATATCTCAAATCTCTTAACTTGAAAATAGTTAAGATGGCAAGTTTTATCTTATGCAAATTTCACCACAATTTAACATTTTTTCCAATTGGTGGCTACTTTTACTTGGCAGGAGGAAGGGGCGAAATCTTTTAGAAGACAATTCGAAATATATTTGCTTTGTAATTAGTTCACTCACCTACAAAATCTCAAATCTATTCCATTAAATGTGAGCTGTAATCTTTCATCCACTACTTATCCTATTAAAAGAAACCAGGCAATTTTTTAAAATTATAGCCTAAGACTTGGAATGTAGATGTTTGAATGATACATGCTTCTTCTATAACTGGTCAAATCAATTTCCATACCCAAAACTGAACATAGTAAAATTATGTTCTATTTACCTCATATGATTGTTAGCCACCCCTCCACTGACTTCACCAGAAGTCCTTTCTTTATTAAGTTTAAATATTTAGAGAGAATGCAAAATCCTTCTCAAGAACTTTCCCACATTTGGACATTGTATTTATAAGAACCTATTATCCAGCAATAATCAATGTCATAAACTTAATTATTTTAAATTTTAGTCACATTTTAAAATCATGTCCTTGTCTACAACGGCAGCAATGAGCTCAAAACTATTATTAATTTTCACAACCATATGAAATAAACAGAACATAATTACACTATGTTCACTTTGGCTGCGGAAATCAATTTGTCCAGTTACAGAAGAAGCCAGTATCATCCACGCATCTATATCTCAAATCTCAAGCTATAATTTTCAAAATAAATTGACTGGTTTCTGGTAACTGCATAAACGCTATTTTTTAGGTTAATTCTATAAAACTTTTACATAATATTATTTAAAAGAAAAATTTTTATTTTTGTTTTATATTGGAGACAGCTGATTTCCCTGGAGAAGGGAATGGCAACCCACTCCAGCATTCTTGCCTGGAGAATCCCATGGACAGAGGAGCCTAGAGGGCTACAGTCCATGGGGTCGCAAAGAATCGGACAAAACTGAGAAACTAACACACACACACACAACTGATTTACAATGCTGTGTTAGTTTTAGGTGTACAGCACAGTGAAGAATAATCCATTTTAAAACCAAGTCCACTGGAGTAAACTGATCTGGAATCATCATTTGCAAGAGGAATACAAGGTTCCTAAAATACACAAAAAGCTAATGTGCTTGTGTATGGTTTTCTAAATAAGTTTATTCTACAATAATATTCTCCTGCCTATGTGATAATATGAAATTAACTCTCACCATTTGGCAAACAATTATCTGATGCAGATGCCATAAGCTTTTTTTTTTTCCATTTGTAAACAATTGTTCACAGCATTGCCATTTGTTTGAAGAAAAAAACTTACCAGAATGTTTTCATGTGCTCAAAATAAAATCTGAAAAGCTTGTCAGGAAATTTTACTTTATCTCTGAATACAAGAATTCTAAATTTCTGGACCAAAACCAATACATCTAAGCATAATAATTGTCACAAATAATGAGAGAAAACAGCTACAAGTTATAATGAGTATCCTTTTGTTGTAGTCTAAACTATCCTTTTTGTTGTAGTCTAAAGCCATTCCTACCAGAGCAGAACAATTTTACAAAAGGATAAAACCATTTCTAGATATATAGAGTCCTTTGTCACATAATCATATTCCACATTAAGTAAAAGACTGAATTAGAGAATGAAAAAAGGTGAAATTAGGCAGAAAATCTCAGGCCAATTCTAATCCTACAAAGCACCAAAAGCTTGTGGTCAACTTTTATTTTCAGAACCTCTTTCTGAGTTTGAAAGTTACAGTATAATGAAATGCAGATACATGCATTTTCCTAATGTAGCAGGTATCACTTAAATAATTAAAAGAGCAAACTCTGGAAATGGACATCAGAATATAAAGTTGTAAGAATAAGTAACTTTAAAAATCAAAGAAAGAAGAAAAGCCCTACAAAATATCAGTAAGAAAAAATACTGCCTATTAAGCTAATGTTAGACCATATGCAATGATGACAGCATTAAAGGAAGGAAATGTCTGCCTATATGTAACTGAAGCTTCTAAGTTAATGCCAAAATAAATGATTGAAAACATCTCACTACAACATTTTCTTCAAACATCAAAAGACAAAAGTGGTGTTTACAGGGTATTCTAACTCCAAGTGCTTCATGAAGCATACAGCTCTACTTTCAAAGGATCTCCCTAAAACAATTATATGACACTGGCACTACAGTTGGATTCATTAAGAAATCATCTTAGCTCATCCTTTAAATTATTCCTGGAGAAAGAACACCAACCAAGTAATTCAAATCTGTAGAGGAAGGGAGTCCAAAAGCATGAATTGGTCATTTACCCAACTTGTGAATTCACAGCTTGTAAATTCACTTTGATATATACACTCCTCATCCTCCTATACCCAAAGATTCTAATAAGGTATCAAAGTCTCAAATGTTTATTTCTCCTTCAAAACCAGCACAATACCCTGCTAACCCTTACCACCTCATCATTCTTTTTAACTCTCCCCTTAATACACCACACCCACAACACCACACCCACACTCCACACAGCACACTCTCCTCATAAACAACCCAAACTCCTCACCCAAAGCACTTCATACTTAGAAGCCCCACATTTAATACCTTCAAACTCTACGCTCTCTTCATATAATACAAGAAACAATACACAGTCCACACACAAAACAACCCAACACAATACCACCTCACCCTATAAACCACATTCAAACCGTACATAACACATTCTACACACCCCCCAACATAACATAGTCCCCCACAGTTCACAACACACACACATCCCAAGCCAGGTACTGTATAAAAAAACCTAAACCACACAGCACTGCTGTGCTCAAACAAACGCTGGGAAGAGGCCACCCTTTGGGCACTGGGAAGCAACGAGGCTGGAGATGGGAGGATAATTGGGCCCAATACTTCACCTGAAAATCCGCCAGGATCATCTCCCGGTCCATGTTGGACGTCATGGCGGTCGCCGAGTTCCGCGGCTCCGGGAGCGAAACGCGCACCTGGGAGGGAGACTGCGCCTCCTGCGGCCGTCGCCGCCGCCGCCGCCGCCGCCGGGCGCCGAAGGGCTGGCGGGCGAGCCGGCGGGCGGGCCGGCGGGCCGGCGGGCGGGGCAGTGCGGGAGGCTAGGCGCTCATGCACTCGGTAACCTTCAGGCGCCTGGGCCGCCCGCCTGTGCCCAGTAGAGCCCGCTCCGCAGCCGCCGAGACAGGGAGCTTGGTAAGGATGTGGGTCCGGTCTTACTGTCGCCGGCCAGGATGAAGGCAGGTTGCGACAGCGCACACCCGGCTCTCTTCAGCGGCGGGGAGACCGGCGGGGGCGGAGAAAGCGAGCGAAAAAGCAGGCGGGCAAACGCCACGGCCGCCTCCGCCTCCTCCGCTTCCTCCCAGGCCGCCGCCTCCGCCCCTGGTTGGCCAGAGCCAAGGCTGTCGCACATTTTGCCTGTCATCGAGGTCGCAAAGCGCCGCTTTGCGGCTGCCACGTGACTGCTCTCCTGTCAAGCGCTGGGCGCGCGACTACCCGGCGGGGATCTGCGCGCGGCTGGCGGAGACGCCAGCCTGAAACTGCGGGAGCTTGGAGTCCCGCAACAGGTTTTTCCGGTTTGAATTAAGCAAAGGCCTGAGGTACCGCCTCCCCCTGGTTGGGCTGGCAATCAGTTTCTGCTCCTTACGTTGTTATATAGTAGCATACATACACGTCAAGCCTCACAAACCAACTCAGCACAGTCACGACCCGTCTAACAGCATTTCATAAATGTACATTTTCTCTAACAAAGTTTCACTAAAGTACAACTTCATATACAGTCTTTTACGTCAACCTGTCAAAACCCACTTACACACTGTCACACTCGATCCCAAGCCCTGACGCTTGCATCCTCAGACATAATGTATAAAAGATGACGCCTTGCATCCTCAGACATAATTAACAAGGAGTAAGAAATAACCAGATTCCCACGGTAGTTATGGGGCAGACATGGAAGCTGAGAAAGGTGAGAATATCCATCCCAAGACAAAGATGATCAGGCTTTGAGCCAAAAATAGACAAAGACTATGTACAGTGAAGTGTGATAGTTTGTAATTGTCGCTGGTGACTTGGGAAGATAACATCTTCTGGATTGAAGTAGAGCTTGTATTTGCCTTAGAAAGTATATAAAATCCTGAAAATGTAAAGTAAGATTGATAATTTTGTGCTGTAGAGTTAAAATAGATAATAATTTAATCACCATATAGAATCAAGGCCTAGATTTTTGTATTCCCTGAACACGAAGAGCACTGTGGTGTTCCAAAGATCTAGGTTTATTCTGTGGGTTTTTTTCTTTAAATGAAAATAGTCTGGCCTACAATTCTCAAGTAATAGTCTGTATTTAGACCAGAATTAGCTAGATAAGGAATAGAACCCTCCATAGTCATATGAATTGAAGGGTTTCCTAGTTAATTGCCACCCCCCAAGGAAGTAATTCCAAGATAAAGCATGAATGTGAATCATGAGGTGAAACATACTACCAGCAATTTAAGTGTGGCAATTCACTTGTCCCATTCATATATGTCATTCTCAGCACAAGGCAAGTGAGCAAATCCTGCAAAGTTGAGATTTTTCTCCGTGATGAAATGTGTGTGTATCTGAGCCAATTCAAATCCAGTACTGCTCCCCTTCTCCCTCCCTTCTCTCCATCTGGAAATTAAAAGAATGTGGTAATGTGGAAACCAGGGAAGAATACACTAAACATTCAGGAATATGGTTTCTAGTACTGCTTTCCCAACTAATTAGTTAGGGGAAACTGGATGGGTCACTTAGACTCTCTGACTTCAGCTTCTGACATGACTATTTAGGTGATGAGAAAACAATTATGAAAATGCATGGAAGCATAAAATACTTTTGCAAAACAAGCATAGACTGCTTAGCACTACTAGGCTTGCGTTCTAGTTCTGCCCCTTGACAAGAACAAAAAACTTCTCTGAGTCTCAATTTATTTCTAAAATGGGGCTCATAAAACTTACTTCATAAGGTGATTGTGAATATTGAGTGTATAATGCTTGTAAAATCTTTTCAGAAATCTTAAAGCTGTCCAAACACATTAGTTGCTATTTACTTGTATGTGTGCATGTGCACTAAGTCGCTTCAGTCATGTCTGACTCTTTGCGACCCCATAGACTGCAGCCTGCCAGGCTCCTGCAGGCAATAATACTGAAATGGTTGCCATGCCCTCCTCCAGTATTACTTGTACAGCAGTTCCTAAATGCTTTTCTCAGGATAATCTTTCATAAAACTTAAGCCAACAATGATTCTCTTCCTTTCTAATCACTGCTCTATGATCTTTACAACACAATTTAATACTCTGTAATTAAACTGTAATTTTTTTGTCTAATTGTTTCATCTATGCATTTTTTAATATTTATTTTTATTTGTTTATTTGGCTCCTCCAGGTCTTAGTTGCAGCATGTGGGATGTAGTTCTCGATCTGGGATCAAACCAGGCCTCTGCATTGGGAGCTTGGAGTCTTGACCACCAGGGAAGGCCCTATGCATGTTTTAATCTCTCCTCAAAGTCTGAATGTTCTTGAGATTATAAGCCGTTTCATTCACCGTTTTTATATTCACCATAGTTCATTCATGGCAAAGTCTTGGGCATATAACAACCAAAGCTTTTGAATTTATTAATTTTTATTGGATGTCTAGTATGTACAGGTATTTTACACATTTTATCTCATTTAATGCTTACAACAGAATAAACAGATAAAAAACTGCTCTGAGAAGTTAAGAATGTGCCCAAAGTCATGCTATACAGTGAGGCTAGGTCAAAACTAGTGCTCTTTGAACTTACCCTGTTGCTTCCCTGCATTTTACCCTCCATAGTGTATAGTTTCTGAAGAGATTGATTCTTCTCTATGACCTAACTATTCATGACTGGAGATCCAGAGTAATTTTCTACTATAAAAATAAATGCTGAATTAAGAGAAAATTCATTTCGCCAGAATTCCTTCCTTAAAACAAACAATTTCATTGCAGTGTCACAGACTAAGACAATAAAAATGTATAGATCCTCTGTCCATAAGCATGAACAAAGAAAAATGGTTTTACTATATCCATTCTCTTAGTTGTTCTACTGCATTAACTCATGGAGCTCAGTCTAATTCAAATAAAGATCTTTTTCTAGAATCTCCATGTTCTTTGATCTTACCATTCTTACTTTCAAAAGGAAGTTTTATTTCATATTTTTTCAAATATATATACAATATAGTCTACTTGTAGATATTTTGCTAAATTCTTAGTTGTAAAAATTTTCAATTTATCTAATACTTGCAAACATAGTACAGAATGCTCCTTTAATCCAGCATCCTCTAATGTTACTGTCTTACACAACCATGGTACTGCTATCAAAACTAAGAAATTAACATTGGCATAACACTGTTCTGTTTCAGAGGCTCTATTTAGATTTTTACATTAATGTACTTTTTCTGTTCCAGGGTCCAAACCAGAATTCCACACTACATTTAGTGGTTCTGTTTCCTTGGCTTCTTCCAATTGTTGACAATTACTCAGTCTTGACTTTTGAAGAATAGTGGTCAGGAACTTTATAGAATGTCCCTCAGTTTGGGTTTGTCTTATAATGTCTTCTCAGAATTATGCTGAGTTTCTGGATTCAGGGGAAACCATAAACATGATATGTCCTCATCACATCATATCAGGGACACATGATATCAACATGACTTATTATTGAGGGTGTTAACCTTGATCTTTCGATTAAGTTAACGAAGTTTTTAAACTGCTACTCAATTATAGATCATGAGATTAATGCTACTAGAGTTAGATCCACACTCAAGTAATCAAAAACATATTACATATAATGATTTAATGTTCCTTAGGACACTAGTGCCTGATCCTGTCAGTTTTTTTTTCTTTTTTTTTAATGTATGATTACAACTTATTACAGAGAAAGGGGAAAGGATACAGGCCAAAACCAGCCAATGGAAGAAGCATTTAGAGAAAAATCTCGAAGGGTTCCGAACACAAAGCTCCCAGGGTCCTGGTCTCTGAAGTAATGGACAAGGCCTAACATTTGGGAACCCAAGATCTGAGTTCAAATCTTATATCCACTATTTACTGGCCTTAGTCACAATTTCTATAAGTCTCAATTCCTTCACCTGAAAAGAATGAGGGGATAGTTATATTTACCTCCCAGAGGTGTTGTAAAGATTAAATAATGTGTACATCGTATGTTATAACCAGGAAGCACTACACAAATATTAATCATTGCTATTAAACTTTTGAGTTGCTTACTGTGCATTTTTTTCTCACTTTACAAAAAGACTTCCATAAGTGGTATGAGAACCCATATGAAAAAGCCTACTGAATCTCAGAAATAAAATGCCAAATGCCATTTCATTATGCCACAATAATGAAATGATGAAAAGTTCCCCTGAGTGTACCAACCTGTTTCCTACCTCCCTTGGATCTATAAAAATAACAAAAGGAAGATTTTGAAACTATGTAAAGAAACTGTACATACCATATACACATAACCATAAGTTACTCATTGAGAAACTATGCATACTTAAGTCAAAGAGGGGAAAGCACAAAATAATTTGATTATAGTCTTTCTATAATCCCTTTAAAATAAGTATGAGCTGCTGAAAAGAAAGATTTCCATGACTATTTGTATTTTATACCCAACTAAAAGGCTCTATTTCAGTGTTTGAGATATGTGCCATTATTGTGTTAAAAGACAAACTACTATTTTCAATATAGCAGATACTTAACTGTAAATCTTTCTTGTATACCGTGTTAGAATGTAAGCTTGTTGACAGCAGAGATACTCACCTTTGAATCTATTTCAGTGAACTAGCAGTCAACATGAGATTTTCACTGAGGGTCCTCTGTAGTCTTACTTATGCTTTATGAACTAAGATTGTAACTTCTCTACCTCTGTGCTGCCAGTTCTGGGTTATACGATAAGCAAACAAAGCATATGCTTTAGGACACCAGCAAAGCCAAAGTGAAAAAAAAAAACAACTTCCTTAAATTGTTTAATATTTCAGCAAAATCACTAAAGTAGTCAAGATGGGAAAAGTCAGAAACTTGTTGGACTTCTTCACATTTATTTTTTGGTCTTGTATTATTTTTGTTTACACATTAGGTGAATTGGTGAGACATCAAAATCTTTTCAGTGCTTAAGATCTCCAAAAGTCTTAATCCAGCTCTGTAGCCATCTTAAATTACCCTAAGTTTTATTTCTTGTTATTTAGCAAAAAGAATTTCATGAAAATTATAACCCATGTATACCTATACTTTACATGAATACAATTTAAGAATCTTCATTACACTGTCCTCTCTTAGAAACCATAATAAATGCTAGACAGAAACTCTCATAAGTTGTACTAATGCCAGTTATCTTTTATCAGCCAACAATACTACTATATCATCACACCCTCCATCTGTACTGAAGGATTACATACTAATTTCCCAGAATAATCAGAAGTAAATTATATTATTTACGGTGTTTACTGGTATATATGGAATCCTAAAAGTTCTATTTGAAATGTCTAAATACACGTTAAGAAACAAGAAGAGTTAATTCCTTGTGTTGTAGTTCATGTTTGATTCACATTTCAAGTTTAGTTACCTAAGAAACTAGCTCTGGTTATTTTTCTGTCAACAAGTCCGTTCAAGGAAACACCACCAGATTGTTCAAAGTTTGAACTCTCCCTCTACCTACCAGGCAATCTGTTGCTAATGACTCTCCAGATGTTGTTGGTGTGTTTCGTTGCTAATACTTACAGTGTACCTCAAGGAGTTCGGTATAGATGTTGCTTGAAAATATGCTTGCTAGAGGCCGGTAAAAATTAGACCACCTGTCACTTTTTGTTTGGTTTCATTTTGCCCACTGGGTGCATCATGCAACCGTGTTGGATATTTTAAGAGCAAAAAATATAGAAAGCAGTAATTAATTAATCTTACACAGCTAAAAAAGGAAGTAAAAGTACAGAGACGCGGTGCCTCGGACGACTGAAATAAACGTTAGGGAAGACACTATTCCTTTACATTTAGACACCCCTCCCCCACCCCAAACAAGTCCCATGGAAAGTAGTCAGAGAGAACTTTGACAAAAACATGGCCTTGTTAGAAAACCCTTCCCAATACCTACTTTAAAAAAAATTTTTTTTTTCCTTTAAAGTTAATTGCTTTTCTCCCTTTCCCCAAAGAAATGGAAATTTCCGTTTCAAGTCTCTGGAACATTAAGGCTTCAGAGTTCGTCGTGATTTCTTACCTACACCATGCCTTTAGTTTTCGTTACAATCAGTCTAGAAAAGACTTTTGCTTTTTCTGAGCACAGTTTTTTGCTGTCAGTCAGGTCTCTCCCTTCATCCCCGCGGCCACCTCGGCCCACCGCGGCCCTGGGCGTTGATCTGGCAGGTGCGAGGCCGAAGCGCTGGACTGAGAAAAGAAGGCCGAGTCTGCACAGAGCGCGCCGCGGAGCTGGCAGCGGCAGCGGTAGGCCTGGCCTCCCGAACTTCGAGAGCCTGGCCGGGGAGCGCTGAGGCGGGCGGCCTGCCCCGCCAAGGCCGGGGAAAGACTAGCTCCGCGCCTGCCTCCTCTCTGCCTTCTAACAGAGCGCCGCCGAGCCTCCAAGGCCCTGCGGCTCTCCGCACCCTTAATTAACAAGCCTCTTTCCCCCCACCTCCGTCCCCGCCGGCCTCAGGACTGCTCGGGGTTTCACGTCGCAGCCTCCATTCCGCCCGCCAGCCAAAGGAGGCCAAACCCGGCTTCGCCGGGCCGAAAGCCGCTCCAGCCCCGGCCTGGCCGCTGGGCTGGCGGGTGGGAGCCAGCGCAGGAGACAGCGAGGGAAGCGGAGAGCCGGGAGGCGGGAGAAAGGGCGCGGGGCGGGGGGCGGGGCGAACCGGGCTGAGAGCTCGAGCGCCACCAGGGCGGAGGGCGGGGCGTGGGCGGCGCCCGGCCTTCCCGCTCCCGCGGTGCTGCAACTCCGCCGAGCCTCCTTAAAACTCTGCCGTTAAAATGGGGGCGGGTTTTTCAACTCAAAAAGCGCTCAATTTTTTTCTTTTCAAAAAAAGCTGATGAGGTCGGAAAAAAGGGAGAAGAAACCGGCACCGTCTCTGCAGCGGCAACAGAAGCAGCAATTGTTTGAGCGAAAAAAGAAGCGAGGGAGGGAAGGAAAATACCAGAAAGGGGCACGACGCACAAGTGTCTGTAGGGGTGAAGGCAGCAGAGACCAGTGATTTGGGGGGGGACAGCTACAAAAGAAACTGTCACTGGGAGCGCTGCGGCTCGGGAGGAAGCGGTGCTACCCGGCTAGGCTCCCGGGCACAGCTGGCTGGCGGCCGCTGCCCTATCGGCGGCACAGGCTGGGGGCACGGGCCAGGGGACTGCGAGAGGTTGGCGAAGTGGCACAGGGCGCCGAAGCCGTTGAGCTCTCGCCGAGGGCGGAACTGGCTGCGCCCTGGAATTGTGGCGACTCGCAATACTCAGAGCTTGGCCTGAGACTTCCTAGGACCCTCCCGATCTCTGAAGCCCTCAGAAAACCGGGAAAGGAAGGAAAAGAAGCGGCGGTCGCTCAATGAGCTTCTACATTAGGAAGTCTGAACTGGCTCGGTTGTAGGCGGGAAGTTACCGGTGGGCTGCCCCGTGCAGCCGCGATGCTGCAGCGCGCCGCCTCAGCAGCCGGGGCTCCATAGACACTTCCCGCATCTCTCTCTCCCCCTTCCTCACGCTGCTGGGCGTCCCAGGACCCGGTGGGGCCGGCATGACCGGCTTGCCGGGGGCCCGCCGCGCGCCCGGCCGTCTCCGGAGACGCGCGCCGAGCCTGGCTCCCACGGCCTCTCAGGCTCGGCAGGGCTGCGGTAGCCCGGCGGGCGGGCTCCGGAGCCCTCCCGCGCGGGGTTAGCCCGCAGCTCGGCCTAGACGTGGATTAAGACTCATCCGGAGAATAGAAGTCCACGGAGGAGTCGTTACGACCTGTAACTTGAGGGCCACGGAACTGCTACTCTCGTTTGATTTTGGCGATCGTCTTTAACCCCCGGAGCACATCAGCATCCAGCCACCGAGGCGCTCTCCCTGCAGCGGAGGACTCAGAACTACCCCTTCGGCGAGACGGATGGAGACCGAGCCCCTCCGAGGACCTGCCCCTGCGGTACTGGCTCGCGAGGCTCAAGTCACTGCTGTGAACAAGGGTGGGTTAATACCTTTTCTTCCCCCCAGTGTCTCTTTTTCCACGGTATTTTCTGCCCTAACCTAGTCCCTTAAATCTCCGCATACATTCCTCCCGGAGATCTGTAGTGTAGGTACGTGCCTGCTCTGCCTACATTTTACGTCCAGAGTAATTTACCAGGAATATATGTGTGTCTGTATATCTCTCAGTTTAATCACCAGAATTCTTCATAGGGGTTAAGCTAAAAAGCGAGGAGCGGAGCCCCTCTCCAATGGCTCAGTTTTGCTGAATAATCACGTGTGAATCGAGGGGCGGGCTTTTGGCAGGCAGATCTTACTAGTATTTACTACCAAGCTCTACTCCAGATTAACCATCCCAGTCCTTCTGTCAGTCTCCGATGCCATCATGCAGCCTGGTTAGGAGCGAAGGAAAAGGGAAAAAGAAAAACAACTAATTCATCTTTTCCCGATCGTCAGGACCCTAAAGAATGGCCGAGCCTTGGGGGAACGAGTTGGCGTCCGCAGCTGCCAGGGGGGACCTAGAGCAACTTACTAGTTTGTTGCAAAATAATGTAAACGTCAATGCACAAAATGGATTTGGAAGGACTGCGCTGCAGGTTGGTATCCAGAGAGGTGGGGAAAACAGGTCAACAACGTTGCCTACGTGACCCGGGTTTCTAGAATAATAGCTTTCAAGCTTTCGGGGGTACTAAATTTCACTGTTTTTAAAACTAGTTGGTTGCCATATTTTATATCTTTAAGTGGATCCAACTCCCCAAAATGACGTACTTTGAACAAACTCGTCAAATCCAATAACATCCTCTATATCAAGTGGGTTCCAGGTTTGGTCTTAATTTTTGGAATGTTTTTGTGACTTGTGGGGATTGTGTACCAGTCGTAGCAGCGCCGAGTTTTTTGGTTTTTTTTTTTTTAGACAGTTCTATAAACACGTTATTATGATTATTATTTGAAGTAAATACACTGCTATTAGTGGTTTCCGTACTTTGCTCCAATAATTGACTTTAACGTTAATTTTCTTGACTACTGGCGAGGGTATTTTTCCTTCAAATGCTTCAAGTTTTGACAAACGACCTTTCCTCGTTTGGAATGGGTGGCCTGGGCACGGGCACAGGATGTACATTTCACAGTTAATATAATACCATCCACCCATTCAGGATTGAGGAGGAATAAAAATTTGAATTTTCTAATCAGAGCTCAGTTTATAGTGTTTTTGTCTCTGCGGTCTTACCGTGGTATGTTCTAATTTTTAGTAATTAGATTTACAAGCAACAAATGAAACATGTCCAGCTGCCAAGTATTGTACCTGATAACTTTTTTCCTCCTCTGAACGTTATCATGTAACTTGGTTGAAAGGCTTAGAAACAGAAAAATGGCAAAGTAGTCTCAAACAGTTGCTTTATCTGAGTTCTGATGATATTCTTATGAGCAGTTCGTATTTGAAATGCAGCACTTAAAGCTGTTTTTGAAAATCCACTGGTGAGAGGGTTTTTAGAGTGCTTTGTTTTTAATTGCAAGAATTAGAAATTTAAGTGACAGGAGATGTACTACTAACAGACGAAGTCCATACACCCTGTATATTTTAAATCAGAATACACTGACTTTGCAAAAATTTCAGTATTAAGGAAGCTTATAGATAGATACTAAATTATTTATCTTGTTATTTCAGGTATATTAAGTGGGGAAAGAATTTTTTTTCTTTTTCCACCTCGTAGTTTTTAACAGGTATTGTGATGATAGCAATGTCACAAATTTAATATATTGAAATTTTTCCTATTGAACATTCAAAATATTATATAAATCTCACAAAGAATGAGCCACTTAACCCTGTAAGAATAGGATCTTGCAGGACTTGTGACGAGCAGGAAGACTAGGAGATTAATACTGCAAAACAAAAGTTTTGACAAACATTTTTAATACAACTCTGCAGTCTTGTTTATATTAAACATACTTATCAAGATATTAACACCCACTTATTGTGGCTTAGTCCTAGTACATATAATGAAACACACACAAACAGGAGTCTCAAAGCTTGTTTTCAGTATGTATAATCCTGACTCTAAAGTTGTATCATAACTCAAGAAAGAACTTTCAAAACAGTTTCCAGCATTGCTATTATTTTCTGTGGAATATGGCAAAATTTCTCCTACAGTAATGTTTATTTACCTCAATTACAAAAGGTTTTTCCCTCTTCCTAGTGTTAGCCTCTCAATCAGGATAATATTAAAGGCCCTAATCGTACATTTGCTTTACAAAGATCCGAGGTGTCTGTCTCCTATTTTTCCCAGTTCAAGTCCTTAAATGTAACTAAATATCTAGAGGCAATTGTGTAAAAATCAGATTGTGTTAATTTTTAATGACCAAAAAATGTATTTCATCTAAGTTCTTGGAAAATAAATTATGTATCATTTTTAACCACTGCCCCAAAGGAAGGGCTAAAAGTCAGCAGAGTTTTATCAACAGGGAAGCTTAACATCTTGGCCATCTATATAGTTTGAATTTATAAAATATTATTCATTCTAAATATATTTTATGTTACTTAATTTGTGATTTTTAAAGCAAACATTCTAAAGAGATAGATCAGCTTTGTATGTTTTTCCAGGATGTATTTAATTTCAAAAACATTTGAGTGTCTACTATGCAATCTATTTACTATAAATTTAGGTTATTATGAATATACCTAGAAATAAAACAATTAAAATGCTGAAATTTCCTTGCATATTAATGAGACTGTATTTTTTCACAACTAGATTATATGTATTGTATAATTTCATGCTGCTGTACAAAATACTTTATGAGAGCCTAATAGAGACCTCTTATTAGAGTGAAATATATTCAAACACCAGTACATAAGTCTTTGTCATGTAAATTAGTTGTATGTTGATAGCAAATTTTAATATCAAATTCTGGCTTTTAAAATATTGGCAGTTTAGAAATAACTATTCCTAAATGCCTGATAATAACTGCAAAAGGAAATAAGATGAGGTCACCAGTTGATTAACAAATGGGCTGAAACCACAGACAAAGCTTTCTATGTCCCAAAATATACGTTAAATATCTTACTTTCTCTTCTTTTGCTCAATTGAAAATTAGGAAGCTAGCTAGAACTTTTTAGGAGACAGTAAGTAAAATAGTAGAATAACTGTTCCATTCCTTTTGAGAACAGTTGCCATACAGTCTTTTCCTATCTAATACAAGGCATATCATGAATATGCCTTATGTTTTTGATAAATCAGTATCATTGGCAATGTAAAAAACACTGTTGCTTTTTTTAAAAAAAAACACTTCAATATTCAATAACATTTTAAATTTTCAAGTGGAGGATTCTAAGCACTAAATACACCTAGTAACCCACATGAAATAATTGCAAAGAAAAAAAAACATTTAAAAATTACTTGGAAACTTGGGGCTTATCTTTTTGGAAAAAACTTGTGAAAATCAATAATTTAAGAAAATACCAGGTTTGGATTTTTAAGAGATCATTTTTACACTAGTAAAATCAGACTAGATGGAGTCTGGTGTGTGGAAATATTTCTTTGAGGATTTAAAGAAGCTCATTCTCCTTCTTTTTAGCTATTTAGAAAAATTTTACCCACATTTAATTTTACAGAATCAATATCCCAGGCACATTTTGTGAGCATGACCAACCAAACAGAAGATTTACTTAAATCTCAAGTTCCATTTCTTTTATTTTAATAAATTCATGAAATGACACAACTCTTTGTGGGAGACAGAGAGCTGGGTTGTCAGTGAATTTTGTACAAATCGCATTCATTCTATTTTTATTAATCAATATATCCTACTTTGGGCCTTGTTTAAGATATTCCATCATAGAAGCTCAATTTTTAGAAGTTTTCTTTTACTTTTACCTAATAGTACTCATTTGCGGCAACTGAGTCCTTCAAACTCCATCACCTGGGTCTTCCCAAAGCACTCCTTCACCAAAAAAAGTTACATAAATAGAAAGATGGATATTCTAAAATAGTCTTGTAGTAGGAGCGCTTGAAGGACTCTACCGTTTTTTCTCCTTTTCTAGGTTATGAAACTTGGAAATCCGGAGATTGCCAGGAGACTACTACTTAGAGGTGCTAATCCCGATTTGAAAGACCGAACTGGTTTCGCTGTCATTCACGATGCGGCCAGAGCAGGTTTCCTGGACACTTTACAGACTTTGCTGGAGTTTCAAGCTGATGTTAACATCGAGGATAATGAAGGGAACCTGCCCTTGCACTTGGCTGCCAAAGAAGGCCACCTCCCCGTGGTGGAGTTCCTCGTGAAGCATACGGCCTGCAAAGTGGGGCATCGGAACCATCAGGGGGACACCGCCTGCGACTTGGCCAGGCTCTACCGGAGAAACGAGGTCGTTAGCCTGATGGAGGGAAACCGGGCGGAGGGAGCTGCGAATCTGCAATGAATGTGGGGAGGGCTCTCCCACACTGCCTTCTGTTTTGTCAGTTAATTGATTGGCTGTCCTATTTTAATATCATTTGTTAAAATTCTGTTTTGTCATATTTTAAGCAGCTAGTTAAAGCCTCTGAAACTGCTAAGTGGAAATCTTACTATAGCTTTATGAATATATTTAAGCAACATCTCTTTCACCTGCAAAACCCTGAGTTCTAACATGTAATTGCAAAAGCTTTGGCTTTCTTCTGAATATTTTATCTTTCCCTGACTTTTCTCCTTGCCTCTCCCTTTGCCAGTCTCAATACCCGACTTGGAGACTTTGTTTTTAAAATGGTTTGTCCTGATGCTTCTTTTGCCTGATTAAAACACATTTTCAAAACAGGACAATGTTTTCTGTGATTTCCACTCCTGTTATAATCCGCACGTGACAAGCCTCTTGCTAATGAGAACTAAACTGAAAGATCATGGTGTTTTAAGTCTTGACATTAGAAAAAGTAGACCAACTGAAAAACTAGACATAGTCTATTGATGATCCAGTTAAGTGCTTTTCTTTCTCTCCTCATGCCTCCCAGCAAAGATTTTACTTGATGCCTACTCTGTCTGCTTTAAAATAGAGTAACAACAACATTTTTTTGGAAATCAAACCTGAAATTACTTCAGTGTAAATTTATCCTAATATTTGATCTTCCTTTTTTCTCAAAGTAAAGTTAAATCGTTGAAAAACAGGTTTCAGAAATAACGATCTGGAATCAAATATATGTTAGCCCTAAAAGCCACTTCAAAAAGAAATTGCCATTAAAAAGTGCTTCCCATTTGCTGACTTTTTTTAAATCACAAAATGAAACAATTGGTTAAACTGTATATTTCCCAAAAGTATACCATAAGTATGCTAAGTGTAACAATGGCTTTTTCTCCCTGAAATACCAGAAGTGTAAAATGATAAAATGTTTAAGTATTAAAATGCACTGCAAATACCAATATTGAGGTGATAAAAAGCTTAGCAAGAACATACATATATTACATATGTGTCATTACTTATTTAGGGGCTATGTTATAATAAATATAGAAACTTTTACAGTAAATAAATAGGCCACTCCTACACATAGTACTTGATTCCCTCAAGACTTTTTAGTAAAGGCATATAAAACTCTTAATACATTTAGCTCTCTTAATAATACATTTAGCTAAAAAAATTTGTTCCAAGAGAATTTTCCAGTATCTACTACTTAATGTTATTTTAAAGATTTCACCAAAGGATTTCAATGCAGTTACCTCTTATAAATTTATAAATACTTTATTCATCATCTCCCACATGAACAAAAATGTTTTATGTAAAAGGCCCCTCCTCCTGTTTCATAAGCTCCCTGCCCTCACTCCAAAAAGAACAAAATACTTGAAGGTTTATTGAAGGACATGGTTCTGATGTTTGCCCTAACAAGGATTGGAAGGTTGCAGACAAGTGGTTTTCGATAATTTATTTTGCATAGTAATATAAAAGAATATGCAAGAAAAAATCCTTTTCATTTGGCATTTTAAGTTCACCTTCCCTATGTCAAGTGCAACAAGACTTCAACTTCTGCCATCTCAGACCACAGGTTACTGAATAAATTTATTTTTGACAACATGAAATTAAATGTAAAACACTTATTTTAAAGTTTAGAAAAAAGTAGAAATTGAGATGATTTTGAAAGAAAAAGGTGTATTTTGGATTTAAAAACTAGAATCAATATACAAAATACACTGCTTGAGTAAGCTGAATGCTTTCTAAACACAAGACTATTACTAAAAATAAAAGTAATACTTCTTACAAGTTGCAACTGTAAAGATAAATGTTTCTTAAAGTCGATTTAATGGACTTTTCAGTATCCACCAAGCATAAGCATTAAAATCGCTCTTTAGCTACTTCGAATATAGGATGTTCATTGAAGAGAGGTACTTCTGCGCTTGCTTTAGTCTCAGATGGTTGGAGCACGAAGTGGGGAGAAGGAGCTCTATCTCTCTTCATCAGCCTAAAACTTACCTAGACATTAAAACATCGCCACATTTCTTTGGTTCTTCGCAGGAAGTAGCTTTGCTAATCTAAGTATTTTAGAAATGAGTTGTGTGGTCCTCTCTAGGAAATATGAAAAGCCATTATTCAATTTCTTAAAAACCTCGACAATATTCAGTAAGACAAATATACCGAAATGTATAGGATGGAAGAAACGGTACTGCAGAGTTTAACGGGGTTTAATTCACAGCCAGCTGAGACCGGAAAGGATCTGAGCTTTTTCAGATGCAGAGTAGAGAGGCAAGTGCTAATCAAAGGAGTGACCAGGGCCTCAGGGGACGAAGACACAGAAAGAGTGGCCCGGCAGTAGGCAGAGATGCGTTTCTCAGTTATTCTCTGAGCCCGCATCCACGTCGGGAAACTCAGGCTTAGACTTTGCTCAATAAATTGAACCCCGGCTTACACCTGGGGCAGAGCAGGGCCGGAGAAGGGTTGCGGGAAGGGTGGGGGAGAACACCAAAAGGACCTCAGTCCACGTTCTGGTCTCCAAGCCACCAAGCAAACTGCATTTTATCATTTTTTGGTAGTAAATCAATTGTTCTCTGATAAACAATACGCATCTCCTAATAGTGTGATGAGCTCCTACAAACACACACCAGGCTGGGTGACTAATAAATGGATAAAATATTTCTGTCCCAGGAAAGCATTTCAATTAGTAATATTGTAAATGTCCCTGATAATGTGGGTCAAACAAACGTTGTGGAATCCGTAGCCCCGGACTGGTTTCGAAATCTCAGTTCCCAAAAAGGTGCTTTCGGCTTTTGCCGGGGGAAGAAGTAATCGTCCAGAAGTGCTGAAAGAGCACAGTGCTGGAGCGAGAAAGGGTCGTACTCACAGCCTTCGTGGCTGCCCTAAGCGACCTTCATCAAAAAGGGGGGTTAGGCTGGGGGGCTGGAGGGGGGGACTCCGTGTCTTGGTCTATGGAGACTGCTTTGATTTTACACCACAATTTCAAAAAGTCAGATTCACGTAGGGACCTAATGAGAGGCTGGAGACAAGCTTCCAGCCTAAGACCCGGGGTAAAAAGCCTCTGCTCGTCGTCAACCCAAGTCCTCTATGGAGGGGCTGCAGAGTCATCCTTTCTGTTCCTTCGAAATTCTCCAGACTCCAACCGCAGCTCCCGGCTCCCTAGTGAGGAAGCTGGAGCCCAGAGCTCCCTCAGGGCGCGCAGAAAAGCCCGGGGTGGGGGTGGGGGAGTTTCAAAACCGTTAGCTCGCGTTGTGCTTTTTTTTTTTCCCCTCCCTCGCTAAGGTTTCTTTTCTTTTCTCTTCCTGTCCAAATATTTCAAATTTCCGCGCCTTAAATAACAGTCTCCTTTTATTTAGTTAGTTTCCTCGGCAGGTTTGGCCGCCCGCTTGTCTCTGCCCCCCAGCGGGCCCGGGGCGCCTTGGACGCCTCGGTGCTGCCTGCAGCCCCTGCGCGCTGCCCCCGGCCCAGCCAGCGCGGCCCGGAGCGCGGCCGCCGGAGCCACAGCCCCCTCTTGCCGCGACCTCGCCTGACCCGACTCTCCCAGCACCCAGAGCCAACTAAGGCCGCCCCCCGCCCGGACGCTCGTCTGCTCCCAGCTCGAGACTTCCCTCCCCGGACTTTGGAGTCTCTTCTGCTTTGGGGTTTGGAACCCGGTCGCCCTGGAGCGGCTGAAGGGCCGCGGCGATAGGAAGGCAGCGGAGGAGGCCAGTGGCCGGAGACTGCCCCAGCCCCCACCCCGCGGGTAACCTTGGAGGCGCCCTCGGAGTGAGTGTGTGCGCTGCTGCGCCAGCCGGCTGGGGCAAGCGGGCGCACGGCGCGGCAGGCAGGAGGCGGGAGCGGGGGCGGGGAGGGGGAGCGGGCCCCGGTGCCTCACTGCAGCCGCCACAGCGCCCCGGGTGCTACGGGCTGCCAGGGCGGCCAGGGTTCCCCGGCCCTGGCCCTCAGGCAGCGGTCCCTGAGGAGGCGGCGGCCATCCCTCTGGATGGTTCCGGTGACCTATGCCTGAGGACTGGGGCCGGAGGGCGACTTGGGAGCAGGGGCGAGCGGGCCGGTGAGCGCCTAGCTCTCCGCAGAGGTGAGCTGGCGGCGGGACCGGGCGCGGCGGCTGGAGCAACTCCATGCCCAAAGCCAATGCCAGCACTCCCTCCCCCTCCCCCCGTGACAGCTGAGGACAGCCGGGCTCCGAGCCTCACGTCCAACTGCGAGGAGGCAATTGCCTCTCCGGCTTCTCACCCTCTTCGGCTGTCCGAAAAGTCCTATGGTGTTGCCTTTACCCCCACAAATTATTAGACGTCCGGGACTGAAAATGCACATTCATTCGGAAAGACCCTCAGCTTGAAACACAGAATTGCAGGCCCGTCGGGACTTTGGGTGGGGCTGGGGTGCGCAGAACACCTAGAAGTGGTCTTGTTTTTTCAACCCGGAATAGAGCCGAAAATCCAGTATGGATCTTCAGCTGTGCCTGAAAAGATTAAAAACTCTCCATATCTGGATATTCACTTGGTAAATCAAGTTTCCGGTGAAATGTTTTGCCATCTGCTATAGAAACATTGTGCGAGCTTCAGGTGTTAGGATGTGGGTTTGGAATTTTCTGTGCTGTCTGTAATCCTCAGAGACATTCAATAACAGCATGGTAACACACCCCGCAAAGGAGCAGAGCTTATCCTTGCCACCACAGCACCTGCAAAAGCACAAGTGGGTCTCCTTCCTAAGTTCTAAAATGGCTTCTGGACGGTCCAGAGGTATCAGCACATAGGAGGAGAGGGACCGGGGGGCTGGAGGACTTTGTATATTTTCTAAAACTACACAGATACTGTTATACTAAGAGTGTTTGACCTCATCTCTCCTCTCTCCCAGTCACCATTGGTCAAGGAAGATTTTCAGTGTAGGCCTATTCAATAATTCTACTTACAGACTTTTTCTTTTCCCTCCCCCTTCCCCCCCCCCAAAAAAAAACCACAGTCAGCCAAAAACATCAGCTCTTTGGGGGAGGAAGTAAAAAAACCACCAATCCTTATCCAAACTACCCGTCATTTGAGCACTAAGAAGAAATCCTACATATAATCTATACTGTGAAAGAAAAAATAATTTACCAGGACCTCAGATGCATTCAATTGATATAATTAAAGTGATATTAATTGCCTTTTAACATTAAAATAATGGGACAGTTTCTGGAATTGATAGGTGAAAAGCTTAAAAAAAACTACATTGAAATGTTTGGAGATGGGAGCTTCTGCTCTCCTTTATATTTCATAAGTACAGTAGTTACTTAGGAAAAAACCTGATACTTTATCTTGACCATATAAAGCAGTATCATGCTAACTAATTTTATTTTAGTTATATGCCTTAGTTTTTCAGATTAGTTATAAGCAGAGTGAAAGTTCACATATAAAGCAAAACTGACATCTTTAATGTTAAAAGTTTAATTTAGAAATGCAACTAAATTATCACAACTATACTAAAGTACAATTCACTCCCTTGTTTCTCCTAAGTGTACAGTTTGTACAACTTGCTGGTAAAGAAGTCTGTCCTGGGTTTAAAATGTATGCCTTAGAAACATAATTTCCTAAAGTAAAAAATAACTCACTATGCTTTAAGAATGACTATTCTATAATTTGGCTATTCTGTACTATTGCTAATGTAACAGTATCTTCTTTTGTATTTTGGAACTATTGTAAAAGCCATTTGGGCCCAAATTGTTCTTGTTCCAAAGTTTTCTTCCTCGGATATTTTTACTAAGAAGTAGCTGTCCTTAATGATGCAGCAGCATTCTGATGCCCATTCTGTTAATTCATGAACTTCATACTAGACTTATATACGCATTTAAAAAGAAATGTGCTTTTCTTCTTTTGTCCAAGTTCAGAACAGATGTGGATGAACGTTAACATTTGAAAGGCCTAGAATAATTAATTTGCAAATCAGTTATTACACTGTGATGATGAAAGATGAAATTTTTAAAATCTCATATATCAAAAGAATAAGTGGGATCACATTATTAAGTTAAGCAGCATTTGATGTTGATTAATAGGTCAGTATTACCTATCTCAAATTCAAATAAGTGATAGTGTGGATTGTGGTATGATTTTTAACTGTGAAAGACTGTTATGTAATACTCCTCTGATATATAAAAGGGGTTGAAGTCCGGAATATCTTTTTCAATGTTACATAAGATATAATTAAAATACATTAGTTAAAAAAAAAAACTTAACTACACCATCACCTGTGTTCTTGGTTGTCCCCATATTTCTTTCTTTCTCTTTTTTCCAACTTCTTTTACTTTTTTGTCTCTACATCATAGGTGATGAACAAAAATAGCATGTAGAAAAAGGTTCCCAGTTCTTTATTCCTGTTGCCTCAGTCATCTACTTCTCTATTCACAAACATGACTTCAGTTTTAAAAAGCCTGTTTTGTGATGCTAAAAAGTAATTATTCCCACTAATTAAAATTTATCATAGGCCTATGAGTGAAAAAACACTGTCTGTATTTTATTTAAAATAAAGTTAAGTGAAAAAATGGGCATTAGGTTGTAGCAAGTGTATATTTATGTTTTGAATATAAATTAGTTGGAATCTTAAAATACATTCAAATTTTGACATATGCTAAAGTTATAATTTTAGAATCAAGATCTTGAAAATATTAAATTTAGTTTCTTGTCTTTGCAAAATAATTTAATATATTTTAATTTGCCACAGTAAGATAAGGCTAATTGTTTTAACTAGTGAAAAGTTAGAATGTTGATACTTGGAAAATATGAAGAAAGGACTATGATATCAAATCCAAGGCAGTGTTTCCTTTTTTTAAATAAATTACTCCTACTGGTAAATTATATACTTTAATTGTAGTGATTATTATTTTATAATTAAATTTTACACTTGGCAGATGGACCAAAGTTCTGTGTTTATCTATAAGCATATATTTGGTTATGCAGGTAATCCAAATAATACTTTGTAGTCCTGTTATATATGAGCAGTTTTATGTATGTGTGTGTATATTTAGATATTTCTTACTAATGTTCAATACTGAGTAAATAGCTATTTTGAACAAATACTACAAATTCACTTCCTATTGCTATTTTTTAAGATGATAAATTATGATTTGCTTCAGGAATATAAGCTGATAATGTTTTAGATATACATGAGAGTCTTTTCACTAATGATCCCGGAAAGATATAAATTAAAACCCTGGAACTGAATACACTGACGCAGGTCTTAGTTCTGTCTAGTTTATTGTTTCAAATTCTTATCATGAAGCAAATATATATGAAAGCCACTTAACATCCACAATTAATGTAATCAGATTTGAAATATTAGAAACAGAATTGTGGTAAAGATAAGAGGAAGAATGGACGTTTCAAGTGTTTTGGATAGCCATGCCTCTGAATTAGCTTAATATCAATTACATGATGGGCAATTTGCTAAATAATCCAAAAGCAAGGACAAAGCAAGACCAGTAAAGACATTTGCCCAATAATTCAAAAGTGGGGCAAAGACCAAAAAACAATTTTTTCTCATTACACCACCATGGGAAATAAACAAATTAATGTACTTGTATGGATAATTTTACAGTTTCCAGTGAAGTTTTCTACTATTTCACTTAGATAGTGTTTTTTAAAACACAGCTGGAAAGTAACCACTTATTATATTTGGTCATATTTTAAAATTACATATATGTTTTACTTAAATACAACATATACATATTCTGTCCAAAAATAGCAAGTTTAACACCAATCTGAAAGGGTGAATGGATACAGTTGGACATCTGGACTAGACTGAGGAGCTGTTTAATGTGCAGCCCGAGTAGGGCCGCATGGGAGAGAGTACAGAGCTGACTGAATGCTGGCTAATTTGCTTAAGAGTAATCAAAATGGCTCTGAGGTAGTATAAATTTCCTACAGATTTTAAATACACATGTACCTGATGAAAAAGCAAATAACTTTATACAAAGACAGTTAAAAGAAGGAATATATATATGTTTTTTGCATCCATAGGGACATCACAAATGTCATAGGGAAGTATCAATGTAATATTAATATAAAAGAGAACTGTACATAATAACATCAGCTGAAGGTAAATGATTGCTTTCATTTCTTTAAAAAGGCTTATTTATTATATTTTAAAATGTTTAAATGTACAGTTCTTCAAACATATGGGTAATATCTATAAAATATAGTGCACATACTAATTTTTGATATTCTAATTTTTAAATTTTTCTCAAAAAAGTTGTTCAAAGTACCTTTTAGTTCATCAGATCCTATTAAAAGATCATGTACCATACCCTAAAATCAGCACATAAAGTTTGAGGCTTAGCCATATAAAAGAACTGTAAAGATCAGTGTTTTCTAAGGAAAATGTTCTGCCTCAAATTATCAAGATAAAGGTCTGGGAATCTTCAGTAGCAGATTTCATCTTCTATGAACAAATAGATTATATTTAGGATCAATGTAAGGTTTATTTAATATTTCTATAGTAAGGTAATATTTTAATATCATCATTTTGAGTTTAAATATGTAGAATTTAAACAATGGAACTCTGTACAGACATTGCAAGGTTTTTCCTTATTTAGCAACAGAACAGATTAAAGAGAAATCAGATCAAAACATAAAATTCAGACAAAAGATTCAAGTTAAAGAACAACAATGATATGAAATCAACAGAAATATTGTCTCACCTGAAAATCTTCCATTAATTTGGGGAAAAGAAATGACAGGAAAAAAAAATTTGAATCCTTTTCCATTAGATTAAAAGATTACTGATTTCTTACCCAATATTGTTGGAAATAAAATCCTAAATATTTAGAAAAAGGGATATGACCATGCTAAAAAGCAAGTGAGTCTCTGTATAGGAAGTGTGATGGTAATTGACCTGAGAGGATTTTCTGAAACTATTTTAATATAGCTATGAACATGTTAGCATATAAAAAGTACTAAATATACTGAGATTTGTCATCATCCTGTTAAATTGTGTACACAAAGAAAGTAGGAGATGCTGTAATAATTGTCTCTTCTTTTTGGTACTTCTTAATTTATAAATATATTAATTCAATGTACATTTTAGTAAAAGGAGAGAGAAGAAAACACAAAATCAAGCATGTTAATAAGTCAATATCCATTATTTAGTCTCTGTATAACCTAATTTAATATTCATAGCCCCTTAATGGATTGAGCTTTATTCTCCCATTTTTACAAATCTACAAACTCAGATTTAATGATGTTGAATAACTTGCCTATGTTACAGGCTTGTAATTTATAGCATAAGGATATGAACCCATGTCTTTTGTTACTTCATTATAGCCAGATGAAAAGATCTTTCAGGGAAATAAATCAGTCAACTCAACAATCACATATTAAGGATCCATCATTATAGTAACTTAATAGGTTTATAGCTTTGAGACCAATTATATCCAAAGCTTTCTACATCTGCAAAATGGGGGTAATAATACCTAATTTGTTGTGTTTACTGTAAATGAAATTTGTGTAAATTTCCTGGGACTCAGCAAGACTTTACTAACGGGAACTATTATTATAGGGAATACAAAGGAACAGAAAACCCATTCTTGACCCCAAGGAACTTAAAAAACTATTTGGGTAAATAAAGTTTACATGTGGCATACATATAACAACTAGAAAGCAAGCAAGATATAAGCAAGTACATGGTAGTATGTGGTACAGCTTATACCATCTTATTAGACTTAGGATACTGATTTAAATATCCTATAGTGGAAAATTTCCCTTATTGAGAAGAA